GTGAACGAAATGTTTTACTTATACAGTCCCCTGCCTTCGACAACCACACACTCTGCGCACAGCCTCCTGCCTAAGATAACACCGCTAGCCCCCACATTCTCACAGCTTTTCATACCTTCTCCTGGCATATATACTGGCATGGTCGGCACCCAACCTTCATGTTGCCTGATGATTGCGAGAGCATGAAACTTCAAGTCGCAGCAAACAAGCCTTGATTGTCCTTGTTGTTCTGTTCTGTACTTATATACAGTATGCATGTATGTACAGCATTCCATGATATAGAAAACGTTCGGAAAACTGCCTGAAGTGTGCTCCATACGCAGGATGCACAGCTCTTTACATAACGGAGGACAGGGGATGCAAGTGACAGAATGTTGTGTTTCAGAACTTTAGAACTGTTAATGCCGAAGTAATCATCAAATAGCTGTTGTTTCCAATCATCATCATCTGTATGATGTATGTGAATGTGCCCATGTGCTTCACAATCTCTTCTGGTATTTTTAGTAGACAAAAGGACATTGCGCTGGCAAGCGTATTACATGACAATACAGTAATCTTCCAGGAAAAAAATCGCAGTCACCACCTCCGCAGCATAGCTCGCTGGGTATCCCATTGCTTTGTAAGTTGCTGATAATCCCTTCCCCTGTTGTGTACGTGCCTTTCATTTTCTCATCGTCTACTCAATTCTATTGGCTCTCTGGACATGCTACAAGGTGCAGAAATAGATACATAAATAACATGTATTCACTGGTTGAGGGACTGATTAACACATACATGTATTGTGTTGAGAACAGAGGAAGGGTTAAAGTCATTTTGTGCAAACTCGCTAGCTAAGCAGAAAAGAGTTCCCACCCAACAGGCACTACTCTTTCTGTCCTCTCCTTTTCTAAGTCGTCTCCTTGTGAGAAGGCACCATTGCCTGTTTGGTTGAACGACTATAAATGAAAGCACAACAACAACAACAACAACAACAACAACACTATCCCAACCTGCACAGTGTACTGTGGACATGGTGCATGCAGCACAGCGCTAACATTGAAACGTTTGTGCTGTGCAAGTCGAAGTGACCATGCGGTAATCACATTTACAGCACCCTGGGCTGGGGTAGCTATTATATGAAATTTGCACCCTCCTGCGGAGCCCACGCTGCTTTGGCAGTGGCGGAGGCTCGCTTGCCGACGTAACCGTCGGAGATCATCATGAACAATGGACTGACTAATTATTCACTTGTCCTGTCTTTATAAATAACATGTTAATGCATAATGTTCTTGGTTTAGTTTTTGGCCTTTTTCGTGCTTTGGAGTTGATAACATTTTCCTCACTGAATTTTTCTCCTCAGCAAAAAAATAAATAAAATAAAATATTATATGAATGATATGATGCCGACAGGGACTGTAACCAATTCAACCAAAATCTCACGATGCGCTGTGTTTCATTTGTTTCGACATACTAGTACACGTATTCACCATTTTGTTATCAATAGCCTGCTGTGGTGAGCTCTTTTGGAGCTAAACAGCTTTCTGAGTGGTATCACTGGTGTGGCAATATGAAAATCAACGGGATTGTGCTTGAGATGGAGGTGATGTACAAGTGGAGTGGGTCAGCCGTGAGAGCGCATTATTTGTTTTCATTTCAAGGATTCCCCAGAGGCCGTGCAGGCCTATCGAGGGGGTCTCTGTTTCTGTACAGAAAGGATGAGAATATGTGAATGCAAAGTGAGCAGAGAAGGATAAATAACACAAAGAAAAGGACAACCGGGAAGGAATAGGGCATTTGATGTTTACTGAAGTGAGCATAATAGTTTTCCTCATTGATAATTATTATCAATGAGGAAAACTAGGAATATCAGTGAATCACCTTTGCAGTTGAATTGTACTATTATGGAGGTGTGGAGTGATGGACTTCGACACATGCACTTATATGTATCAGGAAATAAGTTTCCACGGGCATTTCTCCAGGACGAAATACTGGCTTGTGGACGAAATACTGGCTGAGTGCACTTCACGCTGAGCAGTGGACAAGTAGCCATGGTCTACTATGCGCAGTGCAACGAAGTAGCCGTGCTGACGGTGTCCAGCTAGTTGCGATCTCACATTACATCACACAGTACCTTGTGCTTTTGGGATCCATATCCTCTGTTTGTAGTACTGGGAAGAAGAAGTCGGTGAAGAGGTTGGTGCGACTTCGGTGATGCTTGGGGAATTGTGTGTTTCTCCCTACATGGGAGCTCGCGCAGCTCGTGGCGGGCGGGTCGATGGACTTCTCGCGTGCTCTGGACGGTAGTCGTGAGTCAGTCAAGTGAGAATTTAATTAATGCACGGCGGCAGGAAAACCGCGAGCTCCCATGTAGGGAGCAACACACAATTTAATACTGAGTTTGCATATTTTTCACTCTTTATTCTTGCCAATGTTTGCATTGCATGTCCATCCATTGTGATTATTTTGCCCGGAAAAAGATGCTTTCTGTAAGTGCTCACTCAGACGAGTGCCCAGGGAAGACGTTCTCAATGCCACTCTCCAACATCAGCCAGGGAAGATATCGGCCCAAAAAAGAGAGTACGGTCAATTATCGTGGCAGTTCCCGAGGGCACTCGCGATGGTCGTTATCACCTGGTAAATCCAGCAGACATGGTCACATCAGCCAACCGGATCAAGAAAAGCGGAATGGAACAGAGTGGACACTTGTTTGTACCCGACTGCCATTACCATTCAACTACATGTATTTTGGTATTCCTAGTCGGCAATATGCTGTCATGATGCGAGTGCATTGACGCAGAGTCGTTACACCTACATGACAGCAAACAATAATTTCTGTAAGTCGTCCACCACATTTCGAAGTGGTAGTGCGCTGTACTCCACTGTGGCATGGCCTGCATTGCATCACAGTATATCTGTGCACACCAATTGCAGGTACGTGCACGCGATGTACACCGTCACTTACAGAATACATACTTCAACACAGGGGTCCTCCGCCTAGTGACATGCTGTTAACCAACAACGTAGAGTTCAGCCAGTATCAGAGGGCGCCGATGAACAGGCTGCTTCTAAGCAACAGATTTAGGAAAGGGTTTGCTCCCCACAACCACTATCTCGTAGATTTAGGAATATGCATGTAATAATACTGCAAGTCTACACTGCACCTACATTATTTGAATGTACAAGCACGGAATAGGAACAAACTAGTATTTCGTACTAGTAAGGCGCTGCAACCCTAGAGCGAAGAAAACCATCATCCATTGTTCTTTGCCTCCCCAGGTCAATCATTTCTATCTAGCTATTTATAGCTAGTAGTATCAGTTCTATCACACTTTAAAACGCTCTTCTTTACTGGCGTCTCGCCATCGTGCAAGAATAATATACGTAGCAGTACAGTGAAAAACTGTAGTAAAATTGCCCGCCTGCTTTTGAAGCGGAGATTCGCATTCCCCTGAGCATCTAACTATAAAATGGAAGCCGACGCAGAGAAGGCGGACACTGAGGTATGTAAGAGTTACTGCCAACCTTTAACATTGCTATTGCCACCTTTCCCCCGAGACGTCGGGAATAATCCCTACTCTGTAGTGCCCCATGTTTCTGTTGTGAATCCTCACAGCCCTGTGGGAGTGTATCCCCTGGCCTGCAACACGCAGTCTATGCTCAAGAGGAACACTAGCCTCTATTGACCATGTGTTCGATGTATGACAACTTCAACTTGAAGTAGGCATTTGAAATAGCGCTAGCAGTGGATATTTGTTGTATACTTTATTTATAGTGGAAATCAAAACAGGCATAATGCCTAATAACAATGGATCCACGCTATTCAGCCTGAGAATACATCTTATTCAAGCTATTCAAAGAATGTGCCTCTCACCAACTATCCTTTTATCAGGCTTATCTTTTCATTTGTTTTCTTTATCGTTCTCTGATCGGCACAAGCGAATAGTGTGGGTCGTGTCTCAACAAGGCTGAGCTGGACGGTGAAATTGAATATAATTACTGAGTACCCTCATGATGGGCCAGGCCCTACAATTTGGTGTAATGTAAATTTGAATTGAATCGCAGTGAAGAAACAGTTTTTTTGGAGTTGAGAAGTGAAGTTTTCCATAATTATGTGTAAGTGGCTGGCTGCGTTGGAGTTTGCGGACAAAGGTATTATGGATAGATGCGGCAAATGGGAATTTCGGTCTTTGGCCACTTGGTGGTGGGTCTGATCTACTCACCTCCCATCGCCCTATAGGAGCCGCATCTTCACTAGTGAGGGGGGGGGGGGGGGGGGTGGAGTCCCTACGGATGCGGAAAACTCGGTCTACAGCCGAGTTTCACGCGAACCGTCAGAATACGGCTGTACTCTTCAACCTAACAGGGACAACCCCTGTAACCTACTTCTCGCGTGTCTTTCAAGCACTGACTTAGCACTACTACATCTACTTGTAGTACTAGTACACTGTACATGTCAGTGCTCCTCTTTGGAGGGTTACAAAATAATTGTGTAGTGAGCAAGGCGAAAGGCACCAAGTGAATACCTGTTGACTGAAAGTATGAGGGTTTTCCTGTGTACCTTTTTGTTGATTTTTAACAGTCGCAGTGTAACTCAAACATTCATCAGGCATCAGTCCCAGTGGCTCTAAGCAAATTCTCGCGAAGTCGGACACTATGGATGTATTGCCCTTAAAAAACACTTACTCACAACCAAAGGAACCAATATCCAGTCATGGAAAGGCTGGACGTTTGACCAGGTCCAGGAAAGGGCACAGGCACACTCTGCGACCAAACCCATGGAACTAAGCTGTAAAGGTCGCTAATGTCACTAACTAATTACTTGATCGTCCTTGCTCCTACAGATCAATACATACCTCGTTTTCAGGGCAACGCACTGGGATTTCAGGTGGCATGGCTAAGTGGGATACGCTACCGGAAATGAACATGATTTCAATGAGAGACTGCCTGAGTTTCAACTCTATAATTATCTTCATACGCGGGTGTGCACAAATGGGGGTCAACGTTTTCGAGATAAGGTCCGGCTTTGGCGGACTAGTCGGACAGGTTGCTACGGGCAAGCTCTCTAGCTCAGGCAACCAGGCTTTGATTCTGAAGTCTGCTTCGGCGACAGTTTTGTTGTAACCCTACAAGTATCTGTTGCAGCACTGTGACAGGGGTCGATCTCTGTTGACAGGTAACGTCGTGGCGCGGTCCTGACGCAACCTGCTTTGTCTCCAGAGTCCTTTTCAAATTCTTATCATCTTCTTAGCCCTGCAGCGCTGACGGTGCTCTACGTACTACGTAATGCATGCTACTTCACGTAATACGCTTTTATCCTGAGGAGTCATTTACTCTGTATGAATATTTGCTGCTCAACACTTTAGTCTTTTGAAGGACTCTCAAGGGATGGAGATGTGCGAAACTCGCACTCGAGAGAGAAACAAACTTCTTGCTGTTGCTTATCGAGCTATAACCGTATACAGGTGTTATAGGTGACCTCTCGGCCGGCATTCGACCTTGACTCTGGCTTGCAATCTTATTTTTTAAACCGAAAATTTGTATTGGAGTGCGCGTGCGAGCAAGGCCATAGCAAGGCAAGCCAGCCCAGTGTCAACTGCCACCGGATTATCAAGTACTTTGTCAGTTGCACCTTTTTTTGTCGTGAAGTAAGTTAGCTTCGAGTATCGTCACTGACGATTGTGGCTTGGAAGTAGTTAGTTGGAACCCCAACGCGTGTCACATATCAACGCGACTTGAAGCTAAAACAAAGCCTGGAGGCTACCGTGCGTTGCAATGCTAGCGCTAGCTGCTGGAAGTGTACGCGAAGCAGGGTGTACGTGCTTTGACTGCCAGTTACACACGTAGTAACACTGTCTGCCGTCGGACATCGTGTACTTTGCAATGACTTTAGACTTGTAGTCTAGAAAAAAAACTGAGCGCTGTCACTTGTCAGTGGCCACCACAGTCTGCCGCCGGCTGGTGTGAATCGTTCGCACCTATTAGTATTATCCGCAGGCCACACACATACACGCGGGCAGGACGGAATGGCGTTCGCGCGCCGTTTGCTGGACGGCAGGGACGAGTCTCCGCAATCAAGGCCATCTTCGCCGTCCTCCCAATCGCCTCTTCACAAGGACGAGCGGAAATTAGCCAAATCAGGCAGACACTTGTGGAGTCAGCAGGGCAAGCGGGTGTCCAGAACGCCATCAAAAGAGCAGAAATGGGCACGGGAGTGGACAGCTATCCAGAAAAATAGTACCTTGCCTCGGAGTGGCGAGCAAGCTCTCGACCGTTTGCCATCCGGTGGGAGCTGTCCCAACCTCGCCGAACAGGGCAGAGGAAACATTGCCGATACGAATAAACACGACTGCCTGCAGATCACAAGAAGAACTCTTGGAGTTGGAAGAAATGCAGCTGACGACGAGGAGAAGCGGAAGAAGGACGGGAGGACGACCACGGAGATACAGCCCCGGGGTCATCAGCATCTCGCCAGTGCCGCCATGCAGCGTCAGTACGGCACGGAGGAGGAGGGTGGCGGCGGCGGCGGTGTTGTCGATGCACCTTCGCCCGAGGACGTGACGGCGCAACAGAGTCGCATACTGTACAAGTTGAATGCGTACACCTCGACGTTTGATGGAGGAGACGCCGGCGACCTAATGTGCTTCGACGGACAGATCACGAGCTACGGAAGCGCAGCTCTGATCGGAAATGATGTGCTAATTCGACTGGACGAGGAAGGTGACGATGAGGATTACGAAAGCGGCGAGCTGTTGACTAGTACGCTGCGTGAGAGATTGCTAAATCGCAGTACTGGATCGCTCGATGATCTAACTATCCGCTCCACTCCACATCAGCAGAAAGATTGGGCAGCATGTCCGTCAGGCACAGGGAGCTTGCCACGCGATTTCACTGCCGAGCACAGGACCAGAATGCTACAGCAACCTGCAGTGCCCCAGAACAGCGTATACAGACATAGTGTGAGTGTGCCAGTGGGTCGGAGTGGTCGCCACACTCCGCCCAGGAACATTTTATCAGCGATCGATGGAGGTTTTCACCCGAAACCGTCGTCCATAACGTGTCGGCACCTCGCCCTGAGACGGGTCAGTTCGCAGCCGTTACTGGAAAATCAGGAACTCGAGAAAGCGATCACGCAATGGCGAGACCAGGAGCCTCTGGTAAGGTGTGTGTGTGTGTGTGCGTGTGTGTGTGTGTGTGCGTGTGCGTGTGTGTGTGTGTGTGCACAAGCTGCTATGGCTTCTGCTGTAGCATCGCTATCATCGCCTCCGACGATGGGCGTCCAATGGTGTGTGTGTGTGTGTGTGTGTGCATGCCTGTGTGCGTGTGTGTGTCTGTGTGTGTGTCATCTGGGCAAGTAGTCATCGTATTGAAAGTCGTAGTAGTCATCGTACTTAAAGTATTCGTCGTACCCGTAATGGTACAGTCGACCCCTGATATATAGCGCACCATTGTGCAGGGGAATTAGTTCTTTATAACAGAAATGCACTTATTCTGTAGATTCCATAAAAAATGAAAAAAAGGCCGGCACAGTGGGTTGGTCTAAGACCATGATTGAGAAACGAGAGGTACCAAGTTCAAATCCTGCTTGGAAGCGGAAGGATTTTTTCCAACCGTGCTGCGACCCACAGTTAATTGGGAACTCGTTGCCTGGCATGAGTAAAACACGGATGTGGCAAATGGGATTTAGGCCTTCGGCCTATGGTTGGTGGATCTGATCTATCCTCCCCCACCGCTTAGGAAGCCGCATCTGACGCCTGATCATGGGGTGGTGGCGTCCCACGGAAGCGGAAAGGTGGTTCTTGACCAGAGAGTTGTATGACTAATTGTTCTTGACCTGCCCGGTACGCAAACCCGTCGAATTTTTTTCTTCAAACTGGGACATGTTCAGCGGTTCGCTATACAAGTATCACGAAATTCGCTATAATTATGCAAGTTCATTATAAGTGGAGTCAACTGTACATTGAATTTAAAACCAGTCGAAGACGACAGCTCAAGGGACCTTCCAAACCGGGGTATCCATAACCAGATGGTCTGCTTATCCAGGGTCATTTGACCGGACATAGCATCTATTGGTCCTGGTTGCGGTGGTCTTCTGGGACAGGTGGCCACCTTATCGGAGTGGTCGCCATGGCAGGTTTTACTGTAGTTATACTGTGTGGCACCGTGAATATGAGGTAGCAACGTGGGCGGGGCTGGTCCTTGTTGCCGAGCGTTGCCTCCACCAGCGCCTGTAACGGTAGAGCCTAGACTGGAAAAACTGAGCGTTGAGTATTTTTTAGAACTATACGTTTAAATGGACGGAAAAGAGCCATATTGCGTGAATACCAGATGCCAAACAATTGCATCAAAATTTCAAATTATTGAAATTGTGTCAGATTTGAATATGTACTTTTCACTTATCTACTTGCGTCCAGCGAGGGTATTGGCGATTGAGAAGACCAGGAATAGTCGATGGGTGAGGAAATTCACCTGCCTTGATTATTTCAGGCCATCGCTGCGCTCCCTCTCGCTGCTGCTTGGAGAGCGAATACTGCAATGGCTTCAGCGATGGAAATTCTCATTTTCGATTTAGATCCTGAGATTATCGCTACTACAACTCTCTCCTGGCGTTCACCATCACTAGTAGACATCGACAACAGCTAGAGCAAGCTATATTCCAGATACAAGCAGCGTAACCGAACGAAAACACGATCGAAATTGCTAAAATATATCGCAGAGCGCTGAAATTGCAAAGCGCACTTTTCGCCGCGATCGTTCTCCATACTTTCAAATGGCAACCTACCCACATCATACATCAAAATTTGCAGTGGGATCTCAGCTGCCCAGCGCAACAAACCGCGAGTCGATCGGAGCAAGGACGTCGAACGGCGCGGCGCAGTGCGGTGCGTCGAACCGTAACGTACGTTACGGTTCGAGATGGGGCTGGTACACAAAGGGTTAAGGCAAAAATTAAAATTTCACCAGTTGTAGTCTTTGGGGTGCTGAGTCGAATGGTCCTGGTCCGAGAAAACTGAGACGCTCCCTTCCTACTTGAATCCCAATCGAACTCGCGCACTTCCACCGAAACTGGGTGACTGCGCCCTACTAGATGGGGATTTGTATGCAAAATGTCACTAAAAGGGCCATTTCGTTCTTATAAAAGCACGGATGACCGTGATTGGCCCATATATTGTAGTCTTTTGGACGCTGAGTCGACTGGTTTTGGTCCGAAACGGCTGCGATGCAGCGTTCCTCCTCTATTCCCAATCGAACATGGTTGAACAACCGGTCACGTGCTCCTGGGTGCCCAAATCACCTGGTCACCACGCCAGCAGGCGACAACTTTCACACCAAGGTTCAACTCGAGTGACAGGACTGCACCCAAAAAAGGTCAAACAGGCTAGTAAGTTGTACCCTGCAGGCACGGTGACCAAGTGACTGGCGTACGCAGCAGCACGTGACCGCTTGTTCAACCATGTTCGATTGGGAATAAAGGAGGAACGCTGCATCGCAGCCTTTTCGGACCAAAACCAGTCGACTCAGCGTCCAAAAGACTACAACATATGGGCCAATCGCGGTCATCCGTGCTTTTATAAGAACGAAATGGCGCTTTTAGTGACATTTTGCATACAAATCCCCATCTAGTAGGGCGCAGTCACCCAGTTTCGGTGGAAGTGCGCGAGTTCGATTGGGATTCAAGTAGGAAGGGAGCGTCTCAGCTTCCTTGCACCACGACCATTCGACTCAGCACCCCGAAGACTACAACTGGTGAAATTTAAATGTTTGCCTTAACTTCCCCTTTAACCCTTTCACTGCCACTGTCGACGAAAGTAGACAGCGCATTCATGCACTCTGAGTGCCACTGTCGACGAAAGTCGACAAGCAAACATGCAGTCCCCAGTGCCACCGTCGACTTTTGTCGACAGGCAGACTTCACCCAGTTTGGGCCGCTATTTTTGAATATTGGAGATGTTTAGCCGTGGTAGATGGCCACTAGGCCCTAGAAGAGGTCCATACCCATCGAAATACGCTGCCAGAAACATAGGTTGCCATTTGAAAAAAATCGAACCAGCGTCGTTGAAAATGCGCATCTGATTTTTAGCCGAGCGGCGCGGAAGAAATCGGTTCTCACGCACTTCCACCTTGCTGAGTCGGTGCCAGTTTTTTTCTCTTTCCCGTCAACTTTCATTGCAAGGAGCACGACATTTGGTTCAGACTTGACGCCTAGCTATTGCTCAAGACTCCAGGCGGCTATCCATTGCGATAGGCGGTTGGAGTCATGGGTAGAGACAACCACACGACGGATTCCTCGCGAACGCATTCACTGCAAACTTGGCGGAAACAGCGCTGGCGGCGCTCACTGAGTCCAGAACTAAAATTTTCTAAGGCCTACCACGTTACAATGGCGACCAGCACAGTCAAGAGACACTACAGGTATGTCAGCTACAACATAATTATATTCTTTCTACAACGACACCTACCTCTGGCTCAGTACCTGACGATCTACTGCAAGCTGATGCGAAAGTGCAGTACACCCGCGAACGCCGCGCTTGTCAACGGAACCGGGAAGCGCTTCACTCTCCGAAGTCGAAATGTATTCGGACTGCTGCTAATCGGGAGAACAAACGACCACCATGGCGGCAGAACATTCCGCAGCTGTTCACCGACACGATCCGCTTCACGAAACGACTTACGATCGTTCGTTCTCCGAGTTTTCTGGTGACAGCAACAAGAATTTCGTCCGCAACAACAGGACGAAAGTCTCTCGCAACTGAAGTCCTGTTGTCACGAAGACAGAGAACATTCCGCACGCCATCTCTTCTGCTTCCAGTGTTGTAGCTCTCCGGTCCACTGGCAGATCTTTCAATCCCAGCTAACAAAAAATAAGGATCTGCTTCTCTCTCCAAAACAACAACTAACTTTACTTCGCGAGTGTCCGGGCCGGTCGTGTACATAGTGTATGTAGCGCATGCGGCGCACGGCGCACTTTCGCATGACATGACATGCATTTTTGCACAGCGGCTGGCGCTAGAGCGCGCAGCACGTTTGAACTTCGGATTTTGCGATTTTTTTCGACGGCAATTGCTTCCTTTATGAGTTGTCTACCTACGATGTATACTTTAGAAAGCGATATTCCGTACAGAAAGTACCAAAAAATCCATGAGAAGTTGGCCTTTCGATTTTTCGACCTGGAGGTAAAAAGTGCCTGGCAGGGAGGGGGTGTACAGCTCAGCTGACAGCCTGGCAGGGAGCGCCTTGTCACCTTGAGTGGTCAGCTGGCAGTGAAAGGGTTAAAAGATTATTTTTCATCCGAAACTCAACAGTGCAGCCGCACACAATTTAGAGGTTTAATATGCAAATGATTTCATGGCGGATTTTCTAACGCACGCCAAGTATACCAGCGTGGGTCAGCGGATTTTCTGTTGGCCGCTAGTGCAAGATTTAGTGCAGCGCTGTGCCGCGACTTGGCGAAAGCATCTCTACCGATGATGTAATCGCATAGCCTGTATAATTTATAGAGGCCCAGGAAGAGGAGAGGTATAGGCTTAATGACCTATTGACTTATGGAACTGATGTTTGGCGTGTTGTCTGATTCAGGTGAAGGACACACATCGATTCGCCGTACGCACGTTACTGTCACGAGTAGGATCAGTGCCGGAAGCGGGACCTTTGACCACGATGAATCTGCTGGAGACTCTGCAAGATGTAAGTTCCCCATGCATGCATGCTCTCTACGTATTTCTGTTGTCTGTGACTTTGGCTGCGTATTCCTTTCTAATCTGCCTTGCTCTTTGTTTTGCTGTCCCTTTGTCTCTTCCTTGTTTTCTGGTTGGAGTGCTGGGTCCCCGTCCCCCCCCCCCCTCCACACACTCAACTGCCCCCCCCCCCCCCCCCCACCCTCTCTCCATTTTACTCTCACTCACTCACTCACTCGCGCACGCTCTCTCTCTCTCTCTCTCTCTCTCTCTCTCTTTTGTGTCTCTTTGTGCCTCCTGGTAATTCCCCCTTTCTCTGTCTCTTTCTTCCTCCTCCCCCTCTTTCATTATCACCAGCTTTTTGTATCATAATCATCTTTATCCAATTTACTACCCGCAGATATGTTTGATAGGAGACGAGAGGCATTCACAAGTCGTCAGCGAAGAGAGTACGAACATGGTAAGCATATGCTGATTCAGTGTGTGGACTACCTGCTGGTTGTTGTATCTTGCGTTTAGGTGATGAGTCCAAACTGTGACCGTAGTCCTATCATTGGCAGGGGGGGGGGGGGGGGGGGGGGTAGGGGTAGAATGCCAAAGCTCACAGATCAGGCTAGACCATATAACACTCATCTTGGCTGCTGTTATTTCAGACATTACGGGTGTACATCCACTTTCGTTACGTTAGGCATCTCTCTTTCATAGCTAAATTGCTGGGGAGCATTCTTCCACAGGCAGCTGCTTCTCTGACTCAGTTTTATACTTACCTGTGCTGGTTTATTGCCGAAACGACTAAACAGATTTGTGCACCGCTTAAGTTTTGGTTTTTGGGTAAATGGGTCCCGCTGGTTTCTTCGTTTACATCTTTCAAAAAAACATTTTGTCCGTGGCTCAGCAACTGAATTATTGCGTAATATGGTATTCTGCCGTCGTTGTTCCTGTTCTCAGCGTGTATGGTGTTTCATTCTTGTCTGCTTGCAGCCAGCTGGCCATCAGTGTCTTTCAGTTCATGGTAAGAGAAGCAGTATCTGTCCACTAGGGTTGTTTGTACATGCGTTCATACCCCCCCGATCACTGGCTCCTTATTCTATACCATACAGAAGTATAAGTTTGGCCGCTGCATGCACTGTACTTTACTGGTTGAAAGTCAAGATAAGTCGACTCCCCATGCTGGGGGCCTAGGTTTCAGATGTAGTCAGACTCTGTTTGGATCCCAGTAGCAAGCTGACTGAATCCTTATTGAAATGAAGTAGTTTATTTCCTACTTCTAAGTTCGTAAACCATTGTAAACGTATATCCGATAACATTTGGCACTCAATACACTCGCCTAGCATAGGTTTCCGGGGAGGGGAGTGGAGGGGGGGGGGGGGGTTGTAATTTAGATACCGCCCCTGTCAGTGGCACAATCGTCTAGTCGCCACCCGGATATGCTGCGCTGCATTTTCAGCAATATAGTGCTCAGCAATCTGGTGTGTTGAGTGGCACGATTGTCAGATGTCTTGTTGGACGGCGACGCACTCGTAAAGTGGAATGTGTCATTCATGACGATTGCTAGTTGTATGTTTGTTTTTACTGGCAATACGAAGAAAAACGTGTATTGGTGTGTACGTGTGTGTGTGCATGCATGCGTGTGTACATGTTTGTGTTTATGTGTCCTAGTTGTGGAGGCGCGAAGTCTTGCTGCCAAGGACCCGAATGGTGAGGACAGATGTCGAATGCATTGATGATTTGTGTTCTTGGTATGATGTCTGCCTATTTTGAAGGGTACACTTTAGCCGCTGTAGAGTGTGAAAAAGCCTTGCAATAGTGATCCAGTAGAATGTTTTTGGGTGGACACACGCATTCCCAAAGCACTGCAAAGGACGAACTGATTCCGTTTCATTATAAACATTGTTTCATTCGTACCTGCCCATGGCATATTGCCGAAAGGTTTTACGGTAGGACTTGGTTTGGTTCTTTGCAGTGCTTTGAGAGTGGGTGTGACCACCAGACTACTTTCTACGTATGAAGCTGCAAAACAAAATCACGGTTCACGTTAGATTCGGCTGGAGACCGAGTTTTCCGCATTCCCAGGAACGTCACCATCCTTTAGGATCAAGGCGCAGATGCAGCTCCTAAAGCAGTGGGAGGTGAGTAGATCAGACCCACCACAAAGTGGTCAAAGACCGAAAATCCCATTTCACTGCCTCCATGTTTCTTTCGTGCCGGGCCGCGAGTTCCCAAATTAACTGTGGGTCGCAGCATGGATGGAAAAAATCCTTCCGCTTTAAAGCAGGACTTGAGCCTGGTAGCCTCTGATTCTCAATCATGGTCTTGGACCACCCCACTATGCCTGCCTGAAGCTGCAAGGTGCCGCGAAATTACTTCTCCATAGTGATTTAGCTCACCGTAAAACAAGTTGGCAGAAACTGGAAGCTCCATTGTTGTGCCCAGCCACTGGAGCTTGCAAAGTGTGACGTCATGACTGAAGTAGCCCTTGGCAACATGACTAGGATCTGCCATTTTGTTGTCACCGATAAGTCTGTTATGATGTTGCAGATACCGATGCGGGTAGTTTTACGGGGCCGATCTCTCAGTTCTTCGGCACTCGAACGTACTGTAGAATACTGGAAGACATGGCTTTCGTTCTGGTCTTCTATTATTCCACTTTGTTTTTTTTTCAGGCTTTAGCGACCCCTATGTGATCATCGGCATGGAGAGCAAGACACGGAAGACGCATCGGCACTTGGACGAGTAAGCGGCCATGCATTTCTTGCACCATGTTCTTTCGTATTAGGGTGTGCACGCTCCACTGCAGCCACTTCATTACATGAAAAGCCTACACACACTATCCTCAACAGGGGCGTCGGACAGTATTTTAGTGTGGTACGGACAACCATCTGAAGCACAGTTTATTCGTGGGGGAGCGGTGGCCGAGCGGGAACAATTTGGAAATTTAGAATCCAGATCAGTGTATTTTATTGATTCGCGGGGTACCTGGGTCAAAAAGTGGTACGGCCAATACCGTAGTGACCGTGCCGTGTCCGACGCCCCTGCTCAAAGCAAGTAGTCTCTTCGCTGCAAATTACAAATTGCTCAATCAAGTTTTCCGCCAGGAGCCAACACCAGGCTTCATGTTCTGTCTTTAAATTAGTACTTCCAAGCGGTTGGAGAGCTGTGTCTTCAAACGCAAATGCCACCAAAGGGTTTATGTGGAGGCTTACAGTATCTGGTCAAGTGCTAGTCTCTATTGTTCTTTGCCTTTTCTGTGAAACCACTATTACTTCCAGATAGAATAGTTCTGCGGCCTTTTCAGAAGCCTGATTCAGACCGACTTAAGGCTTTGGCTCCGTCATAAACCCACTATTTAGCAAAAGCCATCATTTTCGTTCTAATTGTGTCGCCTCTCAGTCATAAGTAACGTTTGTTAGCCTGATGTTCACAAAATTGGGCTCTACTCTCTTCTCAGCACGAACACCATGAGCTACAGTATCACTCGACGAAATTAAATTTTGATGTGCATGCCCAGCTTCTTTAGCCTAGCAAAGTAATTCTATCAGCAGGAACACCCTCAATCCCTTTCACCTTCAGCCATTTCAGTTTCCTTGCTCGCCCAGCTCTGATTGTTTTTTTACTACCGCAGCTGGCAGCCAGCAACAGGATCTATGCAAGAATTTCGATGACTTGTACTTGAGAAAAGGGGGAATTCCCCGTTTCATACCCGAAAATGTGCTTGGAGCGAGAAAAGTGAAGTCACCCAACTTTCGATCACGATATATCAAGAACGTTCGTTTGTTGCAGACAACTAGCGAGAATATATTGTTTACTCACTTCTCTTTTGTAAATATTCACCCTGTATTTATTTATTTATCTAAGGATTCCCCAAAGGCTGTCCTCCTATCGAGGGGTTTTCTTGTATGGGTAATGAGTTGGCGTTTTTCAGCCTTTACTGTGCCTGATTTTGTTCTTCTCCACCTGTGCAGCTTTTTTCACATCGGTTTGAACACACGGCTAAACGCCAAAATATCTCCGATGAGAATGGCGACACGTGCCCGCTCGCACTCCCCGCCGCGGTCTGACCAGCGGCAGAAGACGATGTCGTCCATGCTGGGAGGTGGTGATCCGGGTCACAACGAGGGCATGTCACGGTACAAAACAACGGAGGTCGTCTACCGCTCGCTCAATCCCAAATGGGACGAGACCTTCTCTATGTGAGTAATTCAAATCGAGGTAGGAATATCAGGGTTCTAACCAGGTTAAAATAGTAGGGAGGCGGGCAGGTGAACAAGTTATCACGTGATTCATTTTTTCCATTTTCCACGGTCTTGCCATGCAAGTACAGGGCGAACCCCCAACTCCATCCAAGACAAATGTGGCTTTATGATACCGCGCTGCCCCCCGCCCCCCAACCCCTCCTTTGAGAGAACCCTGAATGTAATTATGTAGGCGAGCACAGTTCATAGGTTTACTGTATGACCTGTATGACCTGGATTACAGCCACGGACCTTTATACGAACGTTGCTATATAAACCCTGAAGCGTTTGCGACCGTTTAGTTCGTGAATTACGATGACGGACTATTTTATACTATGATGATTGTCTCGAGTCTACAGTTTGCACCCACCCACCTATTTAATAATTAGCGCGATTTCTCTCCCCCCCCCCCCCCCCCCCTCCCCCCCCCTCCCCCCTTCGCGACGATCATGAACGTTTCAGAATCGCAAAAGTTTCTGGGTTAGCAGTATAGTATTTTGATTAAAAATTCACGGTTTTGGTGAGACTGTAACTGAGTTTTCCGAATCCATAGGAACGCCACCAACCCGGGAAGATCAAATTCGCAGATGCAGCATTGTTATGGTACCCTCTGTTTGTTTCTGACATAGACTTTTGCAGTAGATTGACCAGGACGTAATGCAGTCCAGTGTTTATTGTTGATTGATGTTCTTTGTGCATTTTTCCTATGTCTTTCTGATCACTAAAGGCGTGTTGATGACCCGAACAAAGCCGTCCTGGTGCTCTTCGTCGTGTAAGCACTTCTGGACTCCACAGTGCAGGCTGTTGTGCGGTCAAGTGTTGGATTCATGTATTCTGCTTGTGCTGTGTGTGTGTGTGTTTGTATGTGTGTGCGTGTATGTGTGTGTGTGTGTATGTGTGTGTATGTGTGTGTGTGTGTGTGTGCGTGTGTGTGTGTCTGTGTGTGTGTGTTCCGGAGGCGGCAAGATCTGGATCGCCACTTGGAGCATTGCCTTCCTCCCCCTAACCTCTCTGACAGTACCTCCCA